AGAAAGGTGCATCTGGGCTTCTCTTCTCCTCTCCTTTTGCTATCCTTAAGAATATGTCCCTCTTTCAAGGATACCCATTGAAGCTGCAAACGTGACATCTCATTAACCTCTGACCTGGAACAAAAGACCAATCAAAACCATCTTCACCAAAAAAACCATCAGGGTTGCTGCTCTCATTTAGAGAGGACATGTTAGAATACAGGAGGGGGCAAGAAGAGGCTGGCAGCATTGGTCCAGGGCCCAGCGATGGTCATCCACTTCTCTGGAATGGATTGCTTTTGACTTAGCTCTCGATGTCCAGGAGCAAAACTGTGGGATGTTTCAACTGAAGAGTAATCTGGTTCCTTGCTTTCTACATAGAATGCCTAGTAGTTATTGGCCCAGGTGGTTGAGCCTGTTTGTCCTCCCCAAGTTGGAGCAAAGCAATTAGTTGATTACTCAATGAGAAAGCAACAGTGCAGCGTTGGGTATTTATAGCAAAGAGGCTACCAAGAGAGATTTAACATGATGGTGCATGTTTTACAAATCTTCAGTTTTATTGAATGATGTGGTCCAGAAGATTTCAAAGGAACAATTGGTTACTTATATAATCTGTTCACTTTGACAGTGGGAGAATGGGTGGGACAAATAGAAGAATGGAGAACAACTGCAGATCTGGTTTTTCTAAAGTCATTTTCCTCTCAATTTATTCTGACCTAGTGGTGTCAGGGCTTTTTCTTTTTTTTTTTTTAATATGATACCAGTTTTCAACTGGGAATTATCCCTTAGAAATCAAAGCCCATTGTAAACTCACCAGACCTTCAAATAGACCTTGCTTTGAGTTTCTAAGTGCAGGCTCTAAACCACTGGCAAGGTGTCTGGGGTCAGGCAGCAGCTTTCCCTTCCCAGGAACGTCTGTCACTGGGTCTTTATGGGGACACCCTGCATCTCCTGAAATCCCAATTGCCACCTAGGTATGAGACAACTTCAAGTGATGATTCCAGCTCGGATGGAAGCTCTTCTTCCGAGTCAGATGACGAGTGTGACACCATTGGGTTTCCTCCTGAGGAAGAAGAGGAGGAAGAGGAGGAGGAGGAGGACGACAACACTCGGGGAATGGCGGAAGGGCATCACGCAGTTAATATTGAAGGTTTCAAGTCTGCCAGGGTGGAAGATGAAGTGCAGGTTCCAGAATGTGAACCTGAGAAGGAAGAAATCAGAGAGAGGTGTGGTACATTCCCCTCCCCTCCCTGATTCCTCCCATGAGTGGCGTGCTTGGGCAATAGAATTAACTGGTTCAGGTAGTTTGTAACTGTATCTGTGTATTTAGTCTTAATCTGTGTCTCAGAAGCATGTACATCTGGTCAAGGTACTAGTGAATACAAGTGCAGGGTTCGGTGTCTTTCCGATCTCTTAGCACAGTGATGAGAGTGGCTTAGTCGCTAGTCTGCTTGCTGGACTTTGGTAGCTCTTTGCTGTCTAGTTTGGCGTCTGGAGCTGCTGTCCACTACAGCATCCATTGTTCGAACACATCACCGTGTATACAAAGACATAGCTGACCTTTCTGATGACCAACACTCTGTTTAAGATTTCAGCTTTTAATCTTGACGCAAATGACAGACTTGTTATCGCAGTACCATTGTGTATGAGAAGAAAAAGAGTTTAGCCTCAACCAAAAATGATTAACTGGAAAGGTGATGTGTGTCAGTCACACTCTCAGTTTTATTGCTTGTTGAGTGACAAGGAACACAGTAGGTGTGGGACCATTATATGTAATCCCACATGCTCTGGTTGGCTGGAACACGCACCTTAGAAATGGGTTGAGTTTGCGACATCACTAGTAAGGGTGGACTTTTCACTTATAAAATGAGGAAAGATGGAAACGTCAGTGTGCTTTTTCACTCTGTAAAGTATAAATTGGAACATTTTAGCAAATACTCTGTTACATTTATTAAATAGAAGCTCATTGTCAACACAAGGTAAGTATTTCCAGAGGGTTTGATATGTCTTCTGAGTTTCAAATAGCTTTATTGAGATAGTTACAATGTCATTTGATTTTTGGCTTTTCGTATGTGTTGGACAAACACTTGAGTACTAGAGATGAGTTCAACATAATGGAAATATAGTAATTTAAACCTCTTTAGCTCCTTAAGAGTAAATGTATATACACATATACATATATATGTATACACACACATATACATATGTTGGGAACAAGATCTTACTGTGTAGTCTTGACTACACTGAAATTCACTATGTAGACCACGCTGGCTTCAAACTCAGAGATCCACTTACCCCCAAGCACTCAGAGTAAAGGCGTACGTCATCACACCTGGCCAAGACAATAATTTGAAGCACTTACAATAAAAGGAATAAAATTTTTCAAATGTTATTTTGTAATGTCCTAAAGGCCAGAGCAATGTATCTGGAAGTCACGCTTTTGCCAAGACCTTCATTGCAGAGGTACTTGCTTTATGTGGTGATGTCAACACCATCCAGTCATCATGACCTGCCTAGGCTGGCCCATGGCCCTGGTTGTGGGCTCTGAGAGAAAAATCACTTTTATTTTATGGCATATCCTGAGTTTTGTGGGGTTTTTTTTTCCTCTTTAGGTATGAATTAAGTGAAAAGATGTTGTCTGCCTGCAACTTATTGAAATATAACATAAATGACCCCAAAGCGTTGGCCAGCAAAGATATGGTAAGTCTGTGTGATAGGAACAATCCCCCCCAAGGCCCCAGCTATGTAGCATCACCCCGGTGCAGCATGGTCAGGAACATGGTAGCCTGCCCCTGAGCCATGGTGCATGCTTCTCTCTGAGCCACTGACTTCTAGCATAGCCGGCAGGATGAGCTCGTACTACCCAGCTCCGAGAATATACCGCTTCCCTGAGGCCCAGTGTCCACTCCTTTACCCACCCTGTACTTTCCTTGTGGTGAAGCCATCTGGGACGCACATACTTGGCAGAGAGAAAGAGAAGGCTAATTGCAGGCAATCTCCTTCCCTCTCCATGTTCTGCTTCTATCTACAGAACCCTCTGACCCCAAGAGCAGCATCCCTGAACATTTTAAAAAGTAGGCGTAGTTTTTTAGAAGAAACTTATCTGGGCTGAGGTCGGCATTCCTTTCTGTTAGGAAAGTATATATTAGGTTCTGGTGTGGATTGCCAACGGCCACTATTTTTAAACTGCACTGTCATTTCACAGCTGGGTAAATTCAGTAGCAGGTAGTGTGGGGGCTGTGGTTGTCTAACTGGGCAGGAATAGCACAGACAGGACATGCAGGTACTGCTGGGGCAGCGGCTAATCTGGTGTGCTGCCGGGTGATTCACTCCTGCACTGACAATTGGATCTGCAGCTGCTTGACCCAATCAGGCCTGTGATTGGTAGCTCCATCTTCAGGGTATTGTGAATATGTGGCTTCTCGCACTAATTTGATAATAACCTGGATCTGAGTCTTTGTGTGTCAGCAGGTTTAGTTCATCTGGGGCTGAATCATCTGAGTCCGTTGCTGCTCCTCAGGTGACTTACAAGGCTCTCGAGAACCACAGGAGACCTCAGGAGTTAGATAATCCTAGAAACATAGCTGGAATCCCATGGGCCTGGCACGGTTTGTTAAAAGCTGGCTGTGGCTGTCATAGGCCTGAACACAGACAAGTACACAGGGACATGTCCCCATTTGACCTCACTAAGCCAAACCCAGCTCCAGTATCTGAGGCCATGAGAGATGAGTCTCCGGGGCCTACAAGATGGCTCAGGAGAGTGAGTAAAGATGTTTGCTGACAACCTGACAACCTGAGTTTGATCCCTAGGACCCATGCTGTGGCAGAAAACAACCAACATCTTCAAGTTGTCCTCTGACCTCCACATATACTTGTAACGTGCCCACACACAGTAAATAATAAATATATAAAAACAGTCTAAGTATCTCTGAGTAGCAGCTACCATGTCAGACTACTAGTGTTAGACTTAGATTGTCCCAATTTGCTCTGTGAGACAGCACCTCACAGTGTAGCTCACATTGGCCTGGAACTTGCTCTGTAGTAGCCTTGGCCAGTCTCAACTGTCAGCCTGGTGGGGTAGAAGAGTCAGAGTTAGTCAGTCTGGGTCAGGAAGCAACACAGTTGCTAGTGTGTTGATTTCTCCCTTATTCCAATGAACAATCGCAGAAAGACCCGTTAGTTCAGTTAATACAAACAGCTCATAAGTAGAGGCAGGCCTAAGTGTTAACCTCATTATAGATACTATAAAAATAAAGGGTTTTTGTGGTGGTGGTGGTTTGGGTTTTTTTTTTTTTTTAAACATGGAAACTAAGATTCAGAATAAGGAAGAGCCTCAGGATAATTCGTTCATAAGTAGTAAGTAGAGTCCGGAATTGAATTTCCAGGATCTGGCTCTAAACCCACTTTCACGTTGTTGTGACCTCTTTCTTAGTGATCACAGTGTGGACAGGGTGATTTAAAACCAGGAGTTCAAGTTTGTTGTTTGAAGCTGCTCTTGAGAAGCTGGGTTGCACCAGCTTTTAAGAGCAGATGCTGAGAGCACACACTTTGACTATAAAAGGCCTGGTTGCTTGGGCTTTCGGTCTCACTCAAGAGAGAGCTATAAATAGAACTAACAGCAAGTTGGTGTTTTGGCAGAGGATCTGTCTGAACACCCTCCAGCATGAGTGGTTCCGAGTGTCCAGTCAGAAGTCCGCTGTGCCGGCCATGGTGGGTGACTACATCGCCGCGTTCGAGGCTATCTCCCCAGACGTGCTCCGGTACATCATCAACATGGCGGATGGCAATGGGAACACCGCCCTCCACTACAGTGTGTCCCACTCCAACTTCCAGATTGTCAAGCTGCTTCCAACTTCCAGATTGTCAAGCTGCTTCTGGATGCAGGTACAGAGACTGCCCTGTTGTTCCCCTAAGAGCACTCAGGTTGTGACTTGTCTTCATAAAGCCAGTTGACCCTTACCCTAGTTCTTTGGCCTTCCTCAAGTCTTTTCATTGCTTCTCCACATGACATGGCAAGAATGTTGTTCTTGAGTCATGGATGGGAGGTTTGAGGTTCACCAGGCCTGGGCAATGAAGAAACAGAATCCACATCTATTTTGAAGGGAGTTTGTGAAGATATTCTCGAAGCAGGTCAGCTGTCTTCAAATGAGGTGTACCCCTGCTAATAGCCGTGACTCACGCTTGTTCCCCGATGAATCATGCAGGCTTGGCTGGGCTGTTTGGGAGGCAGAGAGCTGCTCACAGGCCCAGAGTCATAGCTCTTGTGTTTGCGGCCACTATGTGCCTGTACAGAAGTGAGGAGTTGAGACAGGGACTAGTAAAGCCACAATAGAGTCATCACTGTCCCTGCCCAGCTACACGTCTCCTGAAGAATCACAGAAACGAGAGGCAGTGTCTCCCGTTACCGCTGAACCTTGTTAATAACAACAGGAGTAGGAACATGCCATCCCAGAATGTAGTTGTGGGTCACGTTATCCGTGAGGTAAGAGGGCAGTACAGATGGGTCCCTTGAGGAAGGGAGCCTTCAGCAATGTGCTCAACTGGGGCAGACCCCCCAAATCACTTTCATCTTCAAAACAGTATTTTTGACATGCAACTAACAAAGAATCTACAGTCATCCAATCTAGTGGGAACGTTAATGGCAAACCTAATTTATATAATGAAATTGTCCAGTTTCCTTTACCATCTCTTGCTTGACCTGGTGGCCTGATAATGCATCACTCCATCTTGGAGTTGTTAGTACAGGAAAAAAAAATACTAATCCAAGCACACATACCATTCACTACTGTTCTCGGTTTCTGAATTCCCTTTTCTTGAGGATGTAGGCATGGGTGGAGCTACAGCCTTCTGCATGCTGGACAAACACTCTGCCACTGAGCTGCCTCCCAGGACAGCATAGTCTTTCAGTGCCCATGTTAGGGGATAACTACTTCCATCTGATGACAGGAAGGAGTTACAGGCCGCCTTCTCTCCAGACTATAAACATCTGGGGATGCTGTTAAAATAGGGACATGGATTATACCCAGAGAAGCTCAGGACAAGAGTTCAGAATTGCTCTTGAAATGGTGTCTTCTCTGCTCTCAGAACCCTAGAATGGATATCTTGGCAAACTGACTTGATTTCACTGTTAGAAGGTCTTAGTTCAGCACTTCATTTACTTCATTTTATTGCTTACTATTTTGAGTAAACCTTTGGCTCCATAAAATGTAACTCTGGGTGCTTCAGCACTGAAGGGCTGAGGAGCTCAGATCCTGAGCCCCTCCCCCCCCCACCCCCGTATATGTGTCATATACCATTTTGCCACCACACAGCCTTTGCTTTTTACACATAGGTCCTTCTGGTCATCCCATTGTGTTATTTTGTTACAGAGTGGGATCCCGAGTCAAGTTTTTGTCTTGTCTCATCTGAAGTGTTTAACTTGGTACTTGCTTGCCTAAACACTAGTCTTCATCCTGGCGTGCCATTAAAGCCCTGGAAAGCTTCTCAAGAATTAAAGAACAGAAGAGAGATCTAGCCCATGGAATCTGGTGGTCCTTGGCAGTTTCTTAGAGGACTTGTAACATTAACATTGATCTTACACTCACAAGCCCTAGGGTTAGAAGCCACGTGATTGAGTTTCTGAACACGTGCCTGTCTAGATTCCTCATTAGCGCTTCTACTTCAGATTGAGGTTCACACTGAGAACCTCCTCATACATCACCAGGCTATCTCACCATAATCACCCTATCCCAAGCAGGGCGCCCTGTGATAACTTCCTGTCTTGTCTGCTGCCGCCAGCCTGCTGACATAGAGCATTAAAACATTTTTGTTTCCTTTTTAGTCAGCTTCAGGGCACTCATTTCATGGTACTTTCGTAAACACCACACCTCTAGTGAACACTAACGGTTCTGGATCACTCTCCCTAAAGAGATTTCTTTCTTGTAGACGTGTGTAATGTCGATCACCAGAACAAGGCAGGGTACACGCCTATCATGTTGGCTGCCCTCGCGGCCGTGGAGGCAGAGAAGGACATGCAGGTTGTAGAAGAACTCTTCAGCTGTGGAGACGTGAACGCCAAGGCCAGTCAGGTTAGTGCCTTGCTTACCGCGCTCACCATCGGTACCCTGGCCAGTGTCTCATATGACCAGGTTGACAGGGCATTTTGCTGGTAGCACACTGACAGCTGTAGTTGTGTACTGACCAGCATCCTGCTGACACGTGGGCTCAACTCCATGTTGCAAACCTCTCCCTCCTTTGCCTGATCTCTTGGGAAGCTTGCAGGGAAACTAAACATGGTTGCACACAAGGGTCCCTACCTGTTTGGGGTCCTCATCTTACACTCATTGCCTACTAACTGCAGTTATCTTGTTGTTTTGGCTTCATGCCAGAGCTCTAAGCCTAAATGTGTTCACAAGTTTACCTTAAACCTCTTTGGAACTATCTACCTTGCTGTACTGAGATGGCCACAGAGCTCAGATGAAAGCCTGACTCCTTCCTCTGTGCTCGTCCTTAGCTCATAGTGCCAGTGCCTTTGTGTGTCGTCTAGTCTACCCACCCCCAGCCTTCTCCTGCCCAATGTGCACTTCTGACTCTGACCATCGTTTCTCTCATAGGCAGGACAGACAGCCCTCATGCTGGCTGTCAGTCATGGACGGATAGACATGGTGAAGGGCCTCCTGGCCTGTGGGGCTGACGTCAACATCCAGGACGACGAGGGCTCCACTGCCCTCATGTGTGCCAGTGAACATGGGCATGTGGAGATTGTGAAGCTGCTGCTGGCCCAGCCGGGCTGCAATGGCCACCTGGAGGACAATGTGAGTACCACTGGGCCTCCAGCCAGGAGCGGGTGTGGGCCCGCTTTCCCGTTCCTCATGGACTGGTGTTGGTATCCAGGCCTCTTCCCTTCATAGCACAGCTCAGCAGTGTTTACCATGTATAGTGTGATATTGCATTAGCCAAAAGCAAAAATAAATACATAAATGGACCTCACCCTCGAGTTTGTGCAAGGAAGAAGGTGAGACCCAGCACTCCTAATGGGGGTGAACAGATTGGCCCTACAAAATCAAACTCGCAGAGGCAGTCCCTCAGTAGAAGCTTGGGTTTTCTCCCTTGAGTGGTTCATCAATGTGAATAATCTGTGACACATAAGCTAGGAAGTCCACAAATCCTTTGGCCATTCTGAGTACATTTTTCCACTTCTGCTTGGTCTGTTTCCATCATCACCAAACTAACCTTCTCACTGAACTCCCTGTCCCATTCCAAGATAAACCTTGCATGGAGCATTCTGAGGCATGAGTGCACAGGCCAGAGAGACCGTGCTTGCAGGCTGAGAGCATAGGACTGGCACTTGGGCTGTGGAAGCAATGCTGGGTCATGGAGGTCAGGCCAGGCTGGTTCTCATTTTGAAAGTTTATCTCTGCCGAACACTGGTTCAAACTAGAGCATCCTTCGTTTCAAAACACCATAAAGTTAGAGGGGAAATATCCTTCTTTGCCATAAAGCTCAGATCCTACCGGGCTCACACCAACAAGCAAAGCAGGGGAGGTCCCTGCTGGGTAGAAGGGCCATTCCCTCCCACCTCCAGGGACAATGCAGTTCCATTCACTTCTTCAGGGAGCGTGTGTTCACTGCTTACTTTTCCCCCACTATGGTCTCTGTTGCATGTGTTTTAAGGTTTTGCTCAATTGCTTTCTCTCTGAAAACTTGTTGCTTTGTACAAGTCTGTAGTGTGACAGGGACTTGCAGAAATCCTGGCTACCCAGCTAATTGCCCACTTCCTTATCCTTATACACAAGTAGGACAGCATTAACCTGACCTCCGGAAGAAAAGCTGCTCCCTGGATTCCCAGTGTAGGAGGGCAGGATGCTACTATTCAACCCACGAGGGAATCGTTTCCTGTGGCTGTAACCAAAGGAGACTCCTTACTTCAAAACCAGACAGGGGACAAACTGTGCTGTCCTTTGCCTTAACTGCTTCACATCCATTTCAGACTCTGCAATTTCATAAAAATCAAACAGCTGCCCTCCCCAAAAATGCTTCTTTTCCGTTGCAATGTTTCCCCCTGGTATTTCCAGGAGATACGTATTTGCAGGCAAACATCCAGGATAGAGTGCTTACGTGTGGATTTGACCCAACATTCAGCAGAGGTGCTATAGGCTACAAGACCACAGCTTCCTTGTTCAGAGGAAGGCTAGACCAATCCACACATACCCTAGTTCTTACCTGGCCATTTGTGATTATAAGAAAAGAGACTACAGTTTCTGCCCCTCCTGTCCTTACTGCCTCTCTGGCGAGTGGGACAATTGGATAGGGGCTCTCTGTGGACAGCCTTCAGTTTTTAAGGACCTTGGTGTACACATCCCTGTGCCAGTGCTGATAGGCAAAGCCAAGGAGAAAGAGCGACTCTCCTTGACTTCTTATGGACTAGACTCGCTCGCCTCCACATTCACAACCCAGCAGGTTAGATCCAGAAACGCTGCCTGAAGCACGGAGCAGATGGCTAGACTTGGGGAACTTTCTCAGCTTGCTACCTTCTGGCTGATGGAGTTTTGAGAGACTCAGCCTGGCCTGTTGTTTTCGTTTCCTCTTTAGGATGGCAGCACCGCTCTCTCCATAGCCCTGGAAGCTGGACACAAGGACATTGCCGTTCTTCTGTATGCCCACCTCAACTTCTCGAAAGCCCAGTCTCCGGTCAGTAGCAGGCATTTGGCATTTACAAATAGGATGGAATCCACAGGCTGGCAGGCCCCTTCCCAGGGGAATGATAAGGCCACAGGGGTCTTATGTTAATTCTGAATATGGGATTTTTAGCCCAGAGCTTAAGTTTTCATCATTTCTACCCTGTGCCAGGAAAGGCTGGGTCCCAGTCATCCTTGGGGGACAGCAGCTCTCACAGGGAGCTAATTCTAAGCATAATGATCCAAACAGCACAGGTTGAGCTCCGGGCTACATGTCACTGTGTTCTTGACACTGTTTCTAAAGCTGTCAGCAGGCTGCTCATCAGCTCAGAATTTACTTCGAATGGGAGGGAGGCTGACTTCCTAGGACAGCTGGACAATCCCTGCTTAGCCTGGCTGACTTTAGAGCCATGCCTGCAGAGGGTGGACATCTGTCCCACATTCTCAGGAAGAGATCGCCTGGCTCCGGCACACAGATGGTTGTCAGCTGTGATGAACCAACGTCTGGGGGAACACATCTGCCTGAAGTCACTCATTAACCTCCACTTTTCCCCTCTTTCCTGGTCTCTAGGGCACCCCGAGGCTTGGACGAAAGACATCTCCTGGTCCCACTCACCGAGGTTCTTTTGACTGATTATGTAAACACGGCCCTCATGTGTACCACCATGAAGCTGCTAGTTATTCCTGTTGGGGTGACAGATACTGAATGTATATGGACCATGCCAAGCTGACCAGCAAAACAGAAGTGTAAAGGAGCAGGCTGAAGGCTGATGCTTTTTCAGGGAAAGCAAAGCTACTGGGAAATGGCTAAGCTAGGTGCAGGCCACCTCTCTAGCCCTCCGCTCTTGTAGGGTTTAGACCCGCCTCTGTGGCTGCTGCTGCTCTGGCTCCGTTATTTGCAGTGGTAGGTAATGGTAGGCTGGCCTGACCCGGCCATTTCTACCATGGAAGCAAATGTCAGATTCTCTCTGGCATTGTAGTTTCGAATTTTTCCACAAGTACTTAATAACTTACTAAGTGTGGAGCGGTTGGGAAGCCCGTCCAGTATTCCATTCCAGGGTGCTTCTGTTCACTTCTCTTTTGTCTTTTAAAATAAGAACCTTGAGGGAGAGGACTTTGATTATCAGCAACTTGCACCTCCCCCCTCCCCAGGCTGACAAATTTCCTGCTTAAAAATAGAAGATGGAACTCTCGAACCATATAAACTTACAGCAAGAAATATTTTCAGTTGGTTTATCTAGGTGGATGTATTATATGGCTTTTTATATAAAAGACTTCTATTATATGAAATTGACAACAGTATTTTCAACTTTTATATTCCACAGTACAGTCATAAAGAGCTAATGTTACGTTTTAAGCTACTGCCCAACCATGTCTATATCTGGTGATAACGGTTTGAATTAGGTTAGAGGGTTGGGTTCCAGATTTGCGTCTACGGAGGCAGAGTGTAGCTCTCTGTGTATTTCCATCATGCCGCGTTTACTTTGGTCCTGTATATGTATTTAAATGTTTGAAGTGCCTTAGACTCTTGCCATATTTTCAAAATAAAATTTCATTAAGCTCTGTCGATTGCCCCTGTTCATCACTGACAGCTGTCTGCCTGGCCCGGATGACTAACAGCAGTGGCCACAAATGGTGATGGATGATTTGGGCTTCTCAGGCTCCAAGGGGGGGCAGTCTCTGAGGGTGCTTGAGTCTGTGACACAGGTTCCACACCCCAAAGGCTGCATGTCACAGCACTGAAATTTAAAACCTTACACACCACTACCAGGCAGGTAACCTCCAAGGAGCCCCCAGAGTTGATTCTTCCCAGATGCATGAATGTTAGCTAGTCCTGAACTATTTGGGGATGCAACTACCTGTGGTTGGCTAAACAGGAAAAGGAAGCCAGACAGACTTTTTGAAAGTTTTGCATCTTCTACAGAAACTGTTGGAGGAGTCATGAGAGAAGTTGTGGGGATGGATTCAGTTCGGCCTGGGCCAGCTAAACACTCTCTGCAGGAGCCCTGGAGCTTCTGGGACAGAAATCTGTCCTCATCTGTGTCCTCACTGTAAAAATGAAGTTACAGAGACTGGGACTCCCAATCTGTTCTCTCCTTCCCCAGACAGAGCTGCGAGCTCTGGGATTCAGGCTAAATTTTGGCTCAGGAAGTTATTAAAGCCAAAGTCCCATGGACCAGAAAGGGGCACAATAGATTAATGGAGGGTGGGGGACATCTGTGAAGGGAAGTGGTTCTGGGCTTTGTTTCTCCCTTAATGGCCCAAAATGCCATTTGAGCAAAGAGCTATTTCTCAGGAGGTTTCTGATCCTGCGGATTTTGTTTTTCTGAGAAGTAAAACGCATCAATACTGCGAATGTGGCCCCAGATGGAGTCTTTTAACAGAGTAGTTGTGTTTACCTAACTTGCACACAGTCCTGAGTTCAATCCACAGCAGTAACCCAAAAAAAAAAAAAAAAGCTTAAAAAAATATTGTAAATGAATGAGGAAAACGAAAGGAGCCCTTGTGCTCTGATAAAAACAAGTGCTTATTTTATCTTTGAGTAAAGTCCTACACACTGTGTATCTAACCTCTGAGTACTGCGCTGGCGCAGGCCATGTTTGCTCTCATAATACCGGCACCTCGAATGCTTTTTATCTTGAGATCGCCACACATTGTACACATAAGGCTGATTATTCCCGTCGGTAAAGCCTTGTGTGGTTTACGGAGGCACAACTTTGTAAAGGGACTCTGAAAGGAGACGTGGGCCAGGTCCCTAAGGAAGCACAGTCCAAGGGAGGAGACAACTGGCTTTATCTTCTGGTAAAGGAAGAGGAAACCAAACCTATAGGTGATGCCAATGTCCTAGAAACCTTTCCCCTGGAAATGGAACAGCTGAAGGCTGGAATTTACCCTAAGACAATACAGTGGGAACTCTGACCCTGATATCAGAAAGTGACACTGACAATGTGTCCAACTGCTGTCAGGACACGTGGTGAACCTCTCACCACGGCAAGGTAGTTTGCTTCTGGAGAAATCTTATCTGGAACACATGGCTGACACAAGTGCCCAAATACAAAAATGTGTTGAGCCCTTTCCTGTCAGATGTCAGTGCTCTGAGAGAAGTTTGATCCCTGGCTTTGTAATCCTGAAACTACTGTGGTGGACATGGGAGACGGACAGAAAACTGCAGTTTTTCCCTTAAAGGAGAGAATGAGCAGCTAACCATAACCCTTTTTTAAAATCCTGGTGGCTCTTTTCTAGCGGACCTGCTTGCTACATGTAGATCTTTGTGTGTAAGCTTTCCATTCACAGAGCAGGTAAGGATTTCCTGGGGGAGCTGACAAAAAATACACAGTCTGGCTCTCCCCTTGGAATCTGATGCCCTAGGTTTGTAAGCATCCCAGGTCCATGTCAGTGCAAGTTAGGTCCATGCTGAGATTCGTAACCAGGAACTCTGTGTACCTCAGCTGTGCCAGGAGCCCATCCATGCTTAGTTTCTATGTTGCTTGTCCATGTCCAGGGGCATTTTGGATCTTCCTGGGATAGTCATTTACAGAAGGCCAGGAGCCATGACTGCCACCATCCTATTTTTTCCACCCTTAGTTGACCGGAGGCATGTGACAGACTGAGCAGGCATGCTGGCTGCTTTTGGTATGTTTTCTCAATTTAATCTTTCCTTTCCCGCTTCCTCCTGGTGCTAGATTATGGTTACTCAGGAAGGCCACGAACCTTTGCTTTGGCTTTGAAATCAATACTTTGCCATTTTCTTTTTTACCAGAAGCGCAATGTTTCAAAGCCCTGGCCCAGGAAACAAGTTCATTTTACACTCAGCAGAAGGAAATAAGCAATCGCATATTTACTGTACTCTAATTCAGCATGGCTGTAATTTAGAAGCCAGCAGGTTATAAAAATATACCCAAAGTACAATTTGTTGGAGATGTTACCCCAAAAGGATGTGGTGAGCCCTTGCCCACAGTGCTCCAGACCTATCCAGGCCCCCTGCTCACTCTCACTGCGGTCCCCAGCAGTACGCTTGGAGCTGAGAGTTAATGATGCAGTCAGATGGTATCCTGACCTACCCACTCGGAATTTGGCAAGGATGTGGCACAGAAACTAGAAAGCCAAGTGCTGGTTTTGAACACTTGTATAGAATGTCTGGTATAGAGGGCTTTGGGGGAGTTTTGGGAGATTAGCTATCCCTCTGCCTCTCCTGTTAAGTCCTTTGGTGACTTGATAAAGGATGGAAAGTCTGCCCCTCATTTTCAAATCATGGGACCTGCATAAGAGATACTGCCAGCCAATGTTAAAACAAGCCAGCAGGTGCATCCCACTCTGCATCCTAGAAGGAACCAGTTTGTGGGTCCTTGAGTGCCTGGAAGGATGAGGCTGGGTACTAAACAAAGAGCAGAGCCCTGAGGTAGATGAACAAAAGCTCGCTCTATTGTCAGCTACTCCTACTCCGGGTGGCTTTTAACACCACAGGAGACCAATCCCTTCTGGGAGGACCACTTGCCCCTCCTGTGTCAAGCAGCAAAGACTTCTGGCTTATTAGGAAATACTGGCTGTGTGTAAATAAGCAGGCAATTAAGACAGTATTCACCAAGTTGAATCCTTGAGATCTTCAGTAACTTAGAGGGAAAATACCAATGGACAGCATGCCCAGTAGGACCTACTTTTGGGTTTGGATCTCTAACACCATCTGCCAGGACTGAGGGGTCCCAGTGCCTGGCTGGTGAATACTGACTGAATGAATGAGTGTAAAAGAATCGTTTAAGGCTGTGGAAAGTCAGGAGAGAGTTGCCTGGGAGATGGGGAGAGGGGACTGGGAGGGAGCTACAAGGCTTCCTACAGGTAGACAGCCGCTTCCTGCCTGTATGATACCTGCGGTGTATACTCTGTGGATGGATGTTAGCATCAGTGTGTTTTTAGTTAAAAGATAGGTCAAAGAAGATCTGGGGATGGGTGGCTTAGATCCAAAGGTCAGTAGGATGCAAAGGGCTAGTGGGTGGCTGTGAACTTGAAGCTCTTGACCCCTACAGGGTGTCTGTAACGTAGTGCACAGCTCCGCTCACCAGGAGTGCCAAGGACCACACACGATCTAGGATTCTAGCCAGCAGGGATGCTTTCCCATGGGCCAGTGCTTTTAGGAGGTACAACAGAATAGAGTGTACTTCCCATTCAATTCTGAAGTTAGCCTTGACTGTGTGATGTCCTCTGCCAATGCCACATTGATCCAGTAATGTGTCAACTACAGATGGAAGCTTTAAAAACCTAGAGTGAACCTATAGCATGATTTAAAATCTCCAGAGTCCTCTTGAAGCCAGTTCCTGGAACAGGATGCTGCTGTGACCAAGACAACAAAGAAACTACCAGCAGGGGACTCCCTGGCAGACAGACCAAAGTTGAAATGACTGTTTTCTAAATGCCAGGAATGACACACACCATGGAAAGCAAGTCCCTACTGTGTGTAATATATTCCTGGGCCACTCCTGTGCCGCCTGGAAGGCAGACTGCATTCATTCCCTGAGGCTCCCGTTGCCAAGGTCTAGCAAAGGCCCAGGAATCAGCATTTCCACTTAGTTCCCAACTACTGCTGCTGATCCAGAGGCCACATAGTGAGTATAAACTGCACTGTAAGTCGCCCTTCCCTTACCTCAGCTGCAAAGGGTCTATCTGGAAGGATCGGGGCCGAGAGATCACCTCAGAGTCCATATTTTTCACCTGGAGGTGTCTCAGAAACTAAGTCACAAGGGCTCACAAGGCTCCTTGTAGAATTTGCGCTTCCCAATCGAAAGATAATTCTGAAAAGATGCCTTTGTCAATGAGAAGCCTTCTTTTTCTAAGGCTCAGCCAACATATCCCATGTTTATAAACCCTGCATTCCTCTACAATTGGCTTTCAGAACTTGCCAGTGCTCATGACTTAAATCACAGCAGTCTTGTAAGAAGAGAGAAAATGACTACATTCACTCAGACACTTAGACCCCTCCCAGCTGCTCACCCCAGAGTCCGACTGTGCTTTGGCCCCCTCCCTGATGAATACCCCTTTGGAGCCTGGGAGTCCCAGTGAGGAAGACCCAGTGCACCACACAGCTGCTCTCTCAGCAGCTGCCTCTGAAACCTCCTCTGTTCTCATTCTGTCGCTGGCCAGAAGTACACAATAGTCCTTCTACAGCCAAAACAGAGGCCTCTCTGGACATGCATGCCAGCAACTGAGACAGACACATCTGTGAGGCAAAGTCACAGGAGCCTTTGAGACTAGGAGCCAACTGAAGGTATCCATTGTTCTGAAGGCACACAGGGCATGTCAGAGCTCTAGAGTCAAAGACTGAGTTAAGGTGAGAAAGAAGCAGAAGAAATCTGTTTCACTGGGAAACTAGAGCCAACATGGTTATGTCCTTCCTGTCTATAAATTAATCTCTAAGACTCAACTCTAGGAAGTACAATCACTGAGACTGACTGATGGACGGCCTTGATGACCAAAGGAACATCAGTAAAGTGTATATCATTCAATCACTGTCAGGATATAAGGCCAGACACATAATCAAACACCCAGACACCCAGGGTCTGTCTTACAAACTCTTGA